AAATAATAGCACGATATCTGCCATTGTAAACATCGCCTCCGCAGCATCTTGTATTATATTGCTATGAACACAGAAAAAAATCTAACAAGAAACACACAGATTGTTTACTTTACAATAAATATGTAAATACAGGACGTGGAACTTAATGAATAAGTATCATTTAATATAAGTATCTTAATATCCCACGAGACATCCCCATAAACAGAGCAAAAATTATTGTTGACGCTCTTCCAAATTATAATACAATAATCATACACACTCGACACTGGTACAATCCGCTGATGGAGAGCCATAAACAAGAAATAGATAGATAGATTATCTAAACTAAAATTATGAATCGGAAAGTTTAGAAGCATGGATTTTTGTTAGAGTTTAAAGCCTAATCTACTAAACGGATAACGATTTTGACATGGATGTGCGCAAAATCTGCATGCATCAAAACGGGATATATAATATTGGAAACAAGGGGAGAAGCGGAGGATATTGGTACTTACCACCTCGATGCCCGCCATCCTCCTGCAGGCATAGTCTATGTCGGTGTCAATCAAGTCAAGTCTAGTTCTTAAAATGCACCCGTGTGCACCGTTATTGTTCCAAACTCGAAACCTATATTCCAAGTGACACAGTTCGTTAAAAATAACACGCCGCTTGTGTCTTTTGCGTCGGACAAGCAACCTCTCACGATGACCTTTGAACTCGCACTTTTTAACCGACCGACTCACTTGGCTGCACACGACACGTTTTCCCGCACACCTGTCCGGAAACTACGCGCCCAACTGTACTGAAGAGGAATTCCAATCTACCCACTAATGCGGGAGAAAAAAAATGCGCCTGGTTACCCGCACTAAACAGGGCCGGGAAACTTAAGCTATATGATTGACACCGACTGTTTATCCGTAGGATCCAGTCTGGTAAAACCCATCGGACTCTTACTTCTTTTCACATCCCCTTTTTGTATAAAAGGAAATATATCTAAATAAATCGTAATAAAAGAGAACATTGAAAGAAAACAAACCAGTGTTGCAAGAAATATTAAATCGCATATTAAATTTCAGACCTTAAAAATCTTTTCGCAGTCTGAAATTTTTAATATTTTCCGGTGCATAACAGTTTTAAAATGGTTGAAAATTTTACTCGATATTTGCATACAAAATATACTCCTTTTGCGGACTGGATATTAAAATGATATTAACTTTGTCAGATTTGTTTTTTAATACCTCTGGATAAGTAGAGGTAGTTATTGATTAAAAAAAAACGATATCAACCACTAACTGATTATTATAAAAATCCTTTTTCAATGCCAATTTCATTTCATTGACAAACGGCAGAATACTGAAACGAATTTTAACTTCGTAAAAGCCTATATTTGAAGTGTAACCGTGGCCGCAGTGTTCGGCCGAAGGATGTTTTTATATACTATAAAACTATCACGAATTCGAGATATTACCTAGCCCAAGTCACAAAATTACGTACCAGCTGTTACTCAAAACTTGCAAAACTAGCTTAGCGTATAAACAAAATATTCCGCGCCGTCGCATTAAAAATATCTCAACGCAAATAATAAATAGCCAACACGAAAGGTAGCCTCCCTAGCGTGAGACTGCCTACTAAATCGACTTACAAAAGGAAAAAAAGGTTAAGCAATATTTTATTATGATATATGAACTTTCTGTTATACAAAGGGGATACAAAAAAAAGATTAGGTCATTTGCAAAAGATATGTATTAAATTAGTGTTGCGGTGAGTTTAATTCGACTTCCTTATTATTATCTTAAATGTTTCTTCAGGCATTGCCTAGTGTGGGCATCGCCAGATTAATCATATATTAAAAACAATTTGTATTTTTCTTTTAATTGGTATAACTGTAATTGTAATTGTAACTCTTATTTTTCAATAAAATTATTACTATTTCTATTTTCTATTTCTATTTGCAGAAATCAAACGAACCTGAACTTGTAACACTGATTGCATAATTATAAGAACGAGTATATAAAGAAAATATTTTTGTATGTTTTGGATGACATCAAAAACTATCGGATATAAAAATATATTAAATAGCTACAGTATTACTGAGTAACTATGCAATTTGTTTTTTTAGAATTCCGCGCGGACCGTGTCACAGGCAAAGTCTATATACAGTTTTAATTCCAACAAAATGTATTATGAAGGAACATGTTTGCGTTATAATGAAACACAACAAGTTTAACAAAGTTGTCGCGAGGTGGCAGTCAACGCGAGTTGCCGCCTGTACAACGCAACGCTTCCAAGCGCACTAATTTAATATTCACCAACTTAGTCATGCTGCACAAATTTACTTTCACAATACCAACATAGATAAAAGTACTGCAAATATAAAGAATTTACAAGCAGTATGTGGACAAGTAATAGTTTATTTGTTACAAAAAAAATATACCTTGTTTCGTCTTAATGACAATCTAAGCAGTGAGATTTTTTCACAATTTTCATTGTTTGCCCGATCGTAGGTATCTCGTCAGAGATAAGAATTAGTAGTATGAGCAAATATACTATCAAGGAATATGACGGTGCATTTGCAAATTTTATACGCATTGAGACATCGAGACGCATTGAGTTCGTGGAACAATCTATACTATTATAATAAAGCGTAAACACACACTTCTTTGTTGCCTAAGATGTCAGCAATTACAGCACATTTTTAAATAATTCTTTTTCTAATAAAAAGCCCTACAGTTACGTCACGCTTTAGGTTACATATTGTCACGCCATTAAACTTAGGGGGTAAATATTTTGGATAAAAACGCTAGTGTGAGAAAGAGACCACAACTCGCTGCCAACATCAAGGAAGCAAGATTGCCAAGGTGTGTCATATCATGACATTTTGACATTTGCTATTGATAATTTGACAAATGTAAACAATAAAATAAAATTTTCATAATTTCATGCGAATGAAGCCGCACGGGAACAGTTAGTAACCAATAACAGTATTAAAATTGTCTATACGAAAAAAAGATGGTCCAGTGGTACATTGCTAGTTGCTTTTTATTATTATCACGTAGTTTGCGTAACTCAATGCTACCTAATTGGTTATTTGTAAGAAGAGACGGAGTTCATCTCGTTGCAAAAAGAAAGCATTTTTTTCTGTAAGTGGAACACCGCAAACGGCTCTGACTGTACGGCAACTTAAAAACACACCCTTCGTAACTTCCACCAAACATTCGAACAAAACTTAAGTTACATCAAAGTGGAGCGAATGAAAAAAATATCAAACTCGTGTAAGTTGATCCCTTTTCTTTTTATACTGTCATAAGTAACTATCCGACACGAACTGTATTGAAGTTTAGCAATAAAACAAGCTTTTTACTTGAGATCAAGGGTCAAGAATTTATTTCTTTTATTTGATTTGAAAAATGTTCTGAAATGTTCACTGCTTATTTTATCGGAATTTTCTTAAGTTTCGGTTGAAAAGAAATAAAACATTTTTTTTTATTTCATCTCTGTCTTTCATTTCTACTAACGGTGCGAAATGATTGCTACTTTTTGAATGATTAAAGTTACTGGCAACTAATAATTTTGAGTACTGGCTGAATGTGCACCGTGCAATCAAAGATGTCAAGACGACGATAGAATAACTGATGACAGTTGTCTTTGAATGGTGGAATGAAGCGTTTTGTTATTATAAAATCAATTTGTTAATCTCTGTAAATGTTTGCAATTCGATTAGAGTGTGTTGTGAAGTTATCAATTAAGATGGTAGTCAACTAAGGATAGTGTTTCTAATGTTACGCGATTGTTATTTCATTATCTTCCGATATATGCACGCCTACTATGTAAGATCTACCTTCGGAATTGAATTCTACAAACCGCTCGTCACTCCGGCAAGTATAACTAATTTTGGATTAAGGTCGTAACACATCTGCAGTTCATCTAGTATTGTAGATGTCTATGGGCGTCAATAAACACCTCGATATTCCCGCTATTTGTATTTCAACGTGGATTGTATAAAATGTTTTTCTTTGTACCTCTATTTAAAAACTTCATGCAACATTTGACTACTTTGTTCACTAGTATGAAAAATAACATGTTTTATATGTACATATTTAATTTAAAATGAATTTATGAGGATATAAGGAAAAATAAAGGCGCATAAATGTGTTATTCAAAGTAAAATGCACAGAGACTGTACATAAGCAGGCTCAGGGGATGGAAATTTCGGTTTTATAGCTTTCCCGAAAGCGCCCTCGCGGATTATAAATACTACGTCGTACGGCAGAAAGTGTCAAGTGAACCGCACAACTTTTTTGTGTTACAATTTTATACGACTTGTTCTAAAGTATACTATTTTATTGTTGAATACGATTTGAACTTCGACAATTTTCGTATGTACCAGAAGTTAATATAATGCTGTAAGTTTAGAGGATTTTATATTTATTTACTTTGATTTCAGAGTCTGTCCGTGCGGAATTTAAAAAAATCTTACCAAATTTCATCCAGATCCGTTTAATAGTTTAACCTACAAAGATCTAGTTATACATCAAAACATTGTCATGTAAACTAGTGTTATAAAAAGGAAAGATTTGTATTTTTGTATGTATTCGTTTCACGTTGAAATCTAAAATGTTACTCAAAGATAAATTATCTGTAAGTAACATAGGCTATAGTTTTTATTTTTTTTTAATTTCACGCAGTAGTTGCTAGCAACAGCTAGTATATAATATTAGTAAGATTACATTTAATCTCTCTGTGAATCTGTAATAATTTATATGTCATCTGTTTTTATTGTATACTTTGCCGCCAAATTATTATCACTTGAAAATTTCTACTAAATCGTTTGGATATTTGGTATAATTTTGAAAAAAAAAATGTTGACAACCGTATTTGTAACAGTGACAGCACCAATTGTGTTTAAAAACAACACAGAACCATTATCAAATATCGGTATGTCAACCATTTTAAAACCAATTAGTGTATTTTTAATAGGAAAGCATCGAAAGCAGTTTCCTTATTCCTATAATTTGTTCCAGGTCGACTGGCTTTTAGCGGACAATTCTCCGCTGGTCGCGGTAAGCGGGCTGCGCAGGGTACTTCTAAATGGCTCGCTGGAGTTTGCGCCGTTCTCAGCTGAGCGGTATCGGAGGGATGTTCACGCGGCTACGTACAAATGTCGAGTGAAATTAAACAGCGGATATACCATACTGTCAAAGAACATACATATACATGCAGGTAAATGTTTGTTATGTTTTATATATCTTTCATGATTTTGCGTCATGCAAGTCTGTGTTATACTAAATTATGTAAACTCACTAGCTAAGTCCTTTTTATGTCATTTTTTTCGAAGGTTTTATATATTTTCTAACAGTACCAACAGATAGCTTGTTTGTCTATTGCATCGTAAGCATTAAATGAATTAAATTTCTCGACATAATTTGTACGTAATATTAACATCTTAACCTTTGGTCCTTGCCCTATTTATTCGTTATTCAAGGAAAGGAAGGTCGAACTTACTAGCTATGTAGTTCCCTAACGCGTACATTGACACGATCAATCCCCTCTGATAAAGGACCCTACAAATTGATGTCAGCTCCCCGAAATATGTCAAGTAAAGGACAATTAGAACAAGAATTTGTAAGAAAAATGCTTTCTTTAATGTCAATTTATATTATACGTAATATGAAGTACAAAGCCGACGCTGGAATGAATGATGCACGTGTCAATCAAATCTGAGATGACATATAGGCTTATTAGCTTTCGCCCGCGATTCGTCCGCGTGGAATAAAAAAAGTTAAAGTAAGTAGCTTATGTGTTCTTCCTGACTATTCTCTACGTCTATGCCAAATGTCATCGAGATCCGTTTATCAGTTTAGACTACACATAACGAATTCTAACATCAAAATAAAATATACAAAATTTGATATACAGATATAGAGTTTGTAATAGTAGCTAATATTCCACTTTTCTCTACTCCAGTGTTAAAGTGTCATGTCGACCTACTAATAGGTTCAACCATTTGACCGTTTTTAAGAAAGAGCCGTTTTACTATTGGACTTCCCATTGCAGCTCAGGTTTCGTGTTTTTAATGATTGTTTATTTTTAGTGGTGGATGGTGCATGGGACGTGTACGTACGTGACGAGTACGTGATGTCAGGCAACACGGCGGTGCTACGGTGTGCGGTGAGCGCGCATTGTGCTGACCGTGTTGATACCACCGATTGGTTCACAGAGGATGACGTCAATGTTGTCAGATACTTAGGTATGTTATACTCATATCTATATTTCATCAGTAACAACAACTTCTTTAACAGTGGTACAGCCCGCTTTAACATCGCATGTGTCGGCTGCCCCGGTGTACTACCACAACCACACAGAAGACAGGCGTGAAATTGGAGGCCTAATGTTAATACCTTTTTCTATCCACCCTTTTCTTAAGAGAAGAGAACGGAAAAGAAAAGTGGATTTGACGGCGGAGAAGACGCGGATGCTAATTGCGGATGTCTTTGGGCAGCGGTCGCTTCACTATTTCGGCGGATTCTGGTGGCCTCTGGCTTGTTTGCCACCTTATAATGTAAAAAAAAATCATCTTCCCGTCCTTAGCCTACTCCTGTAGGAGTGGTTTACTTTCACCGTCCATATTAGTCTATCCTCCCTCATTTCAGTCCTCACTATCACAATTAGAATCGTTTAGTCGCTAAGTCGTCTCTAGTGTCTTATGTAGATTTTGTTGTTACGAGATCTACATTTTTTTACCTGGAATGCCAAAATCTTTCTATCATATATGACAAAATGTATGATCGTTTTCCTGGCATTTTGTGGCTGTCATTCTAAAATTTAGAACACATTTAACGACATCTTAATATCAATACCTACAAAGATATCATTTTCATTTAGTAATGCTATACATGTACATACCTCTGGGATCTTTAATGCTTCAAATAACTTCGGTTGTTTTACGGTATTTAGAAGCTCAAATAACATTGTTCTCAGGGGCGAAGTATCAGAGTTTAGACGACGGTTCGCTGTATATAAGCTCTGTTAGCGCTAACGACCGCTACAGCGCTTTTCGCTGCAGGGTGCGCGATAGAATCACCGGCAATATGCATTTCAGTCAGTACTTTGGTAAGTATCTTTTGTACTCAAGTCTTCTAATTTTAATACATCAACGACCATAGAATAGTCCACTAATATACGAACTAGTACGAAATAATTTGGTAATAATCGTTTGCCTTCTATTATTTAGAAACTAAAATTTAAGTTTCTTTTATTGAACTACTAATTGTAAAGCATAGCATCTACCTATTATTACAAATCTAGGTGTTTTCTAACAACAAAACTGTATGTGTGTTGCAATTGTAAACTGAAATTCCGCTCGTCTTCCTATTTCAACGAGCTGAGGATTTCTAGACGTCCAATTGGTATATAAGCTTTAGTGGAAACTCACATTATGAAACAAGGTCTAAAGTAAATGGAGAAATCGTGTTTGTGTTGATTTAGTGTACGGAACTAGTACACGCAACATGCATACTTAAATATTTATTGTTTCATATCCTTCTTGTATCAAGTTTGTCTTTTCCTGTATGTTACCTTGGCTTTTAATTGATTAATTTATGATATCTGAATGCATAAAAGAAAAATATTTAAAGTGCATAAAACAACTTTATTCGTCTCGGTATAATACTCATGTTAGCCATCATAGCTGAAAAAAAGCTAATTCCAAGCCGACATTTAGAATATCAGAAACAATAAAACAACCATTCAAATTCAAAGAAGATTTATTTAACTTGTTACGATGTATTAACCTTATAATAAGCACAACGATATCGTATTTTAAACTGCATGTGGTGACATCTAGCGGTGGTGCGTGAAACTAAATATGTAATATTCTAATGACATTACGACGTATCTTTGAGACTTAACTATGATTTAGTAAAAATACACCTACCTTTTAATGTGTACAATTATTACAATGTATGCTTTTGTCCCTAGGTCGGATAATAGTGACAGAACCAAAGGGCGAAGTGCGGCCACGTCTGGTGCTGGAGACGCGGACTAGAAGAGTGCAGGTGGGACACGAAGTGCGACTGCCCTGCGCCGGACACGCCTGGCCAGTGCCTAGTTACAGGTATATTGGACAGTAGATTACTTGGTTTCTTAGCAGATAAATCTTACTTCTTACTAATATTATAAATGCGAAAGTTTCGATGGATGGGAATTTCTAACAAACATCCAACCGATGTTTGTTAGAAATTTTAGTCTAAACGACCGAACAGATCTTGTTTAAATTTGTCAGGTGTACATATGATCCTTACTTTTTTGTTTTTATTCCACGAAGTCGAGTTAAGCTAGAAGTTAATAATACGTTAAAAGAGAGTAATCTAGTGGCTACCTTCTACTTACTGATTAGTAAATCGTCTCTAAGGCAACTTTTTTTTATTGTTTATGGCAAACACACAAAACCGCTCGCTTTATGTTAAGTCATCAATTTAATATTCGTATTTATTCAGCAAAATAAATATGCTATCAAAAAACATTATGAATATTGAAACTCGATGTGATATAGTATCTATAGTTAAATAAAAGGTACGTAGATATACTGTTTACGGCACGCTAAACCGTTTAACAACTCGCGGAGTCAGATAAAATATTGCACGGGCTGTACGGTGCTGTGAGCCGGGGGACATTTAAAACTGTTATCCAAAATTACGGCAGAAAACATTCGATGTATTAAAAAATATGTAATTCAAACATGTATGTAATAAATAATTAAATTAAAATGTTACTTATACTTTAATATATACTTATTTAATTTAATAAATAAATGTTCATCTTTAACTAATTGTTTAAATTCGACTGTAGTTAAAATATAAATTTAATGTGTTGGAAAAATATTTTATAACTATAATATCTAGTTGTCTTTTTATTAGTAGTTTTTTACGATAAATTTCCTTTAATGCCGTGATGTTTATATCTGGAGTTATAAGAATTGTAATTTTCAAAATTAAAATATCATTTTGTCTTCTTCATCCTCGTTTAGTCGCTTAAAGTATTTTGGTTAATCTTTTTATTGAATAAGGAAAGGTACGCATTTATGATTGG